ACCTTTTTTGAAAAGGGTTCTATATAGCACCAAAAAGGTTCTGCTATTGTTACGATGTCAAGCTTGCAATAACAGAAGAACTATTTTTGGTGCTATACAGAACCTTTTCATGATGCAAGGAACTCGTTGACCATGCAGAGGGTTCTTTAGGTGTTCATGGTTCTACAACCTCATTTCCAAAAATGTTGGGACACTGTGCGCCGATAACAAGCCTAATGGTCTTTAGCACAGAAGATGCAGTGTGCAATTTTGATTCGGCAGACCACAGGACACTTTTCCACTTCGCCTCAGTCCCTCTCAAATGTACTCTGGCCCAGAGAAGGTGGCAGCATTTCTGGTTCCTGTTTATATGTGATTTTTTCTTTGCATAGTTTTAACTTTTAGCATTTAGCATTTATGGATGCAGTGATAAACTGTGTTCACAGACAGTGGTTTTCAGTTTTGTTCCTGAGCCCATGCAGTGATTTCCACTACAGAATCATGTCTGTTTTTAATGTAGTGCTGCCCAAAGATCTTGGCTAGCCAATACTGGTTTTCAGTCTTGTCCCTTGCATACAGAGATTTCTTCAGATTGTCTGAATCTTTTAATCATATTATGTACTGCAGATGATGAAACCCCTAACTTCTTTGCTATTTTACGTTGAGAAACGTTATTCTTGAATTATTGCACTATTGGATCGTGCAGTCTTTCACAAAGTGGTGAACCCCTCCTCATCTTAACTTCTGAAAGACTCAGTCTCTCTGGGATGCCCTTTTTCTATCTAGTGATGTAACTGACCTGTTGCCAGTTAACCTTGAGGTGTTTTTTTAGCATTACACAACTTTACCAGTCTTTTGTTGCCTCGTCCCAACTTTTTTGGAACGTGTTGCTGCCATGAAATTCAGAATTGACATACGTTTTTCAAAAAAACTGTAAACTTTCTCAGTTTTAACATTTCATATTTTCTCTTTGTACTATTTTCAAATAAATATGTGGTTTACATGATTTGCACATCATTGCATTTTGTTTTCATTTACATTTTGCACAGCGTCCCAACTTTTTTGGAAATGGGGTGGTATATAGAACCCTTGAAGAACCTCTTTTTTAAGAGTGTAGAGCACATTTCAGCAGAAATTAGCATGTGACAGAAGCTGTCATAGCATGAAACATTAATGAATGCCATTAAAGGTAATGTCAATGTTAAGCTGCAGTGTTACCAGACTGTCTAATAGGAATGTTCCTTAGCTAATGTTGGACAGGCTTGACCTTTGGTTTAACCCCTTAAAAATCCTGGGCTTATTACATACTAAGGCTTATTATTCAGTAACTACAGGGACTTCAACACAAAACTGGCTCAGCTGTTCTCATGTTATCGAACTGTGTCATGAAACTTTGGGCCCTGGTCATTTAAGGGGTTAAATGATCTGGCTAACTGAGAAATCTTTCTCTGTGAAATACACCCTGTTCTTTGTAGATTTAGTGTTAATTTCCTAAAACTCATAACTGTGAGGTACTCAGTGGCTGTTTGTTTCCTTGGTGGTGTAGTGGTGGTCCCTCCCAATTCTTTAATTCTATCCATGAACTCCATCAAGCTGTGACTGGCTGCATAAGACTCCACCCTGAACATATTAACAAATGCACAGTGGGACCTTTTTTCATTCACACATACATACACACACACACACATGCAGTTTCTGAGTCACCTAACTGGGCTCTGGGTGGGGTGTCACCTTATGCAGGTGTTACAGCTTATTTTTGGCTACCAGCAGGCGTCTAAAGGAAAAACAGGCTCTGTGATGCAGTGGCGTGGCATTCAGATTTGTGATTGCTGTTTATTTTTCGTACTTTGCTCATGGAATGTTAATAAGGGGGGGAGTGGATGTTATTACCAGGTGGTTTTTCCAGGGGAGGGTTTCACCTTGTAAAGCTGGGGTGGAGGGGCTGAGGTAGTCAAGAGTCTCCAGAGCTTTGTGAAAAGGTTGTAGTGGCAGCCTGCCCCTGCTCCTCCACCCCATGTCACTTCACTGAGATGTGTAAAGAAACACCCTGGCACCTGGGCGTGAATGGCAACCCACACTAATGGCCGCACACAGGACCTCCATTGATGATGTCACCAGAAGACGCCTACTCACCTCATCCACTCTTTTGTAAATTCTCTCTTAAATACTGTAAGGGATTTATTATAAGGGCTTCCAAATTTTTTAGTTCTGTTCAGTACGGCAAATTAAAATCAAGGGTTAGTTTAGCGAAAGATCCTTGCCTACGTAAATCCCAACTGGTATGTGCAGAATTCAAAACTACACTGAAGCTTCCTTTCTTTAAAAGGAAAAGTATTCACTAATGTTTTACTTTGGTCTGTATTTTATGTCTGTCTTCACTTTCCTTGCGCTCATTCTCATTTCTTTAACTGCAGATAATCGTTCTTGGAGCCTTATTGAGAAAATTGCCTGTATAGATCATACAAACCAGCTAAGCACATAAAGAGCCAATGCCATTAAAGACTGTGACTAATGATGGTCTTCAAAGACCCTGTCCCATTTAGGAAAGGGGCTATTACACAAATATGCTTACTCATAGAAAACAATTGACTTGGGCAGAGAAGCATAGAGAGGTTATTTGCTCCTTTTAATCATGCAGTGATAGAGAACTTGACGTGGTCATCTTTATTCTGGCATTAATGAGTTTGGACTTCGCAACAATAAGATGAAGTGCAAGAGAAAGGGCTTGTGCTTCTCCATCATCAGCATTTGATTTCGGTCTCTTTCTTCCCTCATTTTTCATTCAGGCCACCCAGCTTTATACAAGTAGTTCACATTCACCGGTAATATGCGAAATCAAGTAGAGCAATGTGGCTGCCCTGTTGGTTTTGCTGTTTATATAATGGATGACTCTTCGTCTTCTTTGGCAATTGCTCTCTTGCTATCAGATTTACAAGTCTGCCAGGCTTCAACCCCTGTGGACCAAGCAAGTATAAGCTGGTCTTTTGCTCAACTTTGGACCAGATGAATTTGTGCTTTCAAGGTCCACTACTAGAACACAGTGCATGTAAACAGGGCGGTGATTAGCCGCGTGCCTGTTTATCGCCTGTTCCAGTGCTTACGAGAAACATAAACTCAGATTAGCATCTGATAACACATCTGATATCCAACCATGTTAGAGGCTGCATGGATGGAAGGCATCCAGTGGCAGGTCCCAGCAGTAGCTCTACAGACTACAATACCTCACTTGTTGCCGAAGTCTGCTCTGGCATGGTCCAAAGCTGTATCAAGCTTTTCCTGGGGCTTCAAATAGCCCAATTTTTCAGTGTGAGCTTAATCTAATCTCAGGCTTCATGATTGGATATGATGATAAAGTTGGTGTTGCTAATTACCTTCAGTGCATGAACAAGCAGCCATATGTTGCCCATGGCACAAAGATCCCTCAGAATAATTGGGTCTGAATGAGTTCATTGTTACCTAAGCGCTAGAAAGGAGGAGAGTTTTTTGGGATAGCATGTAAATCGGAAAGTAGTAAGTCATGAGTCATTTGCCACTGGAGGATGATGAAAAACTACAGTTTGGCCAGCTCAGCCTGGTTAAGCCTGTCAACTAACTTGATCTTGCTGGTCATTCTGCCTGAACAGCAAAACCATCACACTCAAACATATCCCAGTATCAGTTAATACATCAGTTAAACTGGTCTACTGGCTTAACCAGGTTGAGTTGGCCGAGTTGTCGTTTTGTGGGATAGCATGTAAATCAGAAAGTAGTAAGTCACAAGTTATTTGCCACTGGAGGATGATGAAAAATGACAGCTTGACCAGCTCAACCTGGTTAAGCTGGTAGACCAGTTTAAGTGATATATTAACTGATACTGAGATATATTTGAGCGTGATGGTTTAGCTGTTCAAGCAGAATGGCCAGCAAGACCAAGCTGGTTGACAAGCAATACCAAGCTGGTCGACCAGCATTACCAAGCTCATCAACCAGTGTGACCAAGTTAGCTGACCAGCATGACCAAAATTACCAAGCTGGTTGACCAGCAGGACCAAACTCAAATGAAAACATACCCTATGCTGGTCAGCCAGCTAAGTTGATCTACCAGCTTAGGGTCTGTTTTCATCTAGTCCAGCTAGATGTCCAAAGACCAGCTTAGACCATCAAACTAGCTACCAGCAAAAACTTAAGTTTTCAGCGGCGGTCTTACTTGATGTAGTAATAGAGGTATACTATGCTCTCTCACAACTCCTTTTCAATTACTAAGGACAACAAAAACAGGAAGTTTCTCCAGATCATTTAATGTTATTCAAAGTCATTTGAATTTGATAAATAGAGTGTTTATCATTATTTGTGTTGTTGGTCATGCTCTGGAGCTACTTATTTAAAACTGTAGAGATTTGTTTGCATGGCCAGGAGTTTGTTTATATGTATTTATGTTAGAGGTGGGAAAACAAGATGTTAAATAGTGGCCGGGTGAAAAAAGAGGTGGGGTGTCTGGGGGCAAAACAAAGTTTCAATTCCACCCCTCTAGTCTAGCTACCACATCCCATCCTCCAGTCTCCCCTCCTACCTCCTATTCTGACTGGCCACAGACACATGCCTTTTGTATGGACGGAACCAGAGAAACAACTGCGTCTCTCTGTGTGGAAAAAAGTACTAAGAGAGCTAGTGAGAGAGGGATCAAGAAAAAGAGCCAGGGCGAGTGGAGCTTCCAGGTGTTTTGCCCCTAGTTAAAAGCCCTGTACGAGGGATCTGTCACAGCCTAGCCAAGCCGAGCACCCTGTCTCACACTTACTCTCTCCTGCACTTTCCTCCTCTCTCTCTCTTTCTCTCTCTCTCTCTCTCTCTCTCTTTCCCTCCTACTTTCCACCCGTGAGTGAGAGCGCACAGTCATTCAGAAGGTGCGTCTGAAATCTGCTTGTAGTCAACCCGAGACAGCACGAGACAGCAAGGACGTTTTTTTTTCCCTTCCTCTCTGCAGAAGCACATGGACTAAATTTTCTCCAGAGACAAAAATAACAAGCAAAATAACTCACAGCTTTTTTTCCTTCATGATGTGCATATGTAAACAATATCTCACTTCACCCAAGTTCTGTTTGTTTCTCATCACATCTGCTGGAGACGAGACTGCGTGAAGGGCATGAGCAGAACAGAACCAACCTGCAGAAATTACCTGCCTGAGAAATTAAGATTTGCCTGAAATTCCTCCTCGAGCAGAAGAGCAAGGTAAGCACTCATCTGAGCCTTTTACTTTTGCTGTCCCTGCCTCAGCTGGCATGTCAACTTTGAAATTGTTTCTCATATCACGTTGCTGGAAGCCAGTGCAGATGAAGCCAAGGGTTATTGAAAGAAAGAGAGAGAGAGAGAGAGAGAGAGACAGAGAGACAGAGAGAGAGAGAGGAAAAACAGAAGGATTTATATCTCAGTCATGAGACCAACATAATTCTCACTGCACTGCTAACACTAGGCATGGAGTAATGCTCAGCAGATTACAAAATGCCAAACATTTTACAGAATTTTAACAGTTCTCCTGTTTTTGAAATGCACTGAATGTAGAGTTGTGCAGAAGTAAACTTTGGTACTGAGGCAGACAACTTTCCACTTGTTTATAAAATCTTTGACTGATAGCATTGATTAGGTTAGGCTATTTTATCAAGCTTGAAAGTGTACTCCACTCTATTACATAATTCTGAGGGCTAACTCAGTTAATGGTGCAGGCACAGTGCGTGTGTGTTTTTTACTGGCTCTGTTGTGGTGTGTGATTCAGGTAGTGTGACGGGGAAGTCACACAGCTGTTTTAGAGAGGCAGTGACTTGTGCAGAGCGAAAGAGACTTATATAACTGCCCCACAACCTCGTTCTGACTGACACCTGGGATTGTTTGGTCTGCACTCTGTTGCGCATCACCTCCGCTCAACCATATTTAGCCTCTCTCACGGGCACTTGCTTGCCCTTCAGACCCTAAAAGTGGTGTGCTTTGACCAGCCGTCAGGTGCAGTATGTCTCATTAGCTGGCATGGCATGTAAGCCTTATATTCACACTTTCCAGTGCACGTCATAAGGCAGATTGCTTTCCTGTTCATTTTGCCTTTTAACGAAAAGATGTCACAAAAAAGGAAGGAAAAATGAAAGAAAACAAACCTTCATTTGTGCTTTAAGGGAGTGTGTTTGTTTTCGGGGAAAGAGAGAGAGAAAGGGAGAGAGAGAGAATGTGCTTTCATAATACATTCTCCACCACTAGGGCTGGGGAATAGTATTCAATAATGCATTTTTTCTTGTCTGAGCAGCAGGACCCAGCTTCAACAGCACTGAAACAGACCCTGTCTGGAAAAGACAGCATGCTCTCTTAAAAAAAGAAAGAAAAAAGAAAAAGGTAGACAGCAAAGTTAGAACGTAAACCTGTGCTTGAGTGCACCTCAGAATGATATTATTTCCCTAAGCAGATATGGCTAAACCTTTGATTGGAATAGAGTCTGAGGAAGGGTGTGAGAAACACTCAACAGTCTTATCTCATCCTCACACATCATCAAGGGGGACCTCTTTGCACTTACAGGCCCATCAACATTCCAGAACTTCCAGAACTCTGGACTGAAAGCCAGTTTGTCTGCTGCTATCTGTTAAGGCTTGAGAACAGAGAAGTGGAAGAAGTGCAGTGCAATTTTGTAATCTACAGTATGTGTTTCATACGGCCTGTGCTGAAATACAACAAAATGTTTATGTAGTTTTGGCTTTTTTTCCAATTCAGCAGTAGTTGACTTTTTACTATTCCATAACGGGATGAAGATAGAAGGCATCTCTTCAGATACGAAATGAAGGGCCGAAAAATGGTTCTTTGGAGAGATGCCATAAGATAACCCCTTTTGGTTCCTTAAAGGAATGGTTCAGCAGAAAATCAAATGTACACAATTTTCCACTTGACCCAGATGTAGTCAGTCAGCTGAGACATGGCAGGTGTCCAAATATTGCTTCTTTGATTTAGCACTGCAACTACAGTGCTAACTTTGCTAATACACACTATAAATCTAAAATAGCTGCATGCAGCATTCAAGAATATGGTGAGGTTTTACTCGTTTTCATAGCTTGCAGTAAGTTATACTATGTCCTAAAGTCTGTGCAGTGAAAACTTGGATGCAGTTTGAACTGGTTGTCAGACGTGTTTGGCATGCACTTACGGACTATTGATTTCTAGTGTTTGTTAGCAACATTAACGTTGTAGCTCCAGCACTAAACTAAACAAGCAAAAGTTAAATACCAAACATGTCTTTGCTGTCTTTACATTTGAGGTAAGTGGAACTTTTTGTAAATTTGTGATTATCTCTGAACTATTCCTTTAAAGAACCTTTCTGTGAGTAGTTTCTTTTTAATTCTTTACCAAAAATCAATTTAAAGGTACTTAAACCAGAGAACATTTTTAGGGAGCTTTATTTTTGATATCTTATTATATACATGTAGCCTACCACCACATTTTGTTGAACATGCAGCATTGCTGAGTGTCTCAGTAAGTTTAAAAACAGCTCTGTCATGTGTCCAGACTCACAGCGATTGGCTACTCCTAGTAAGAATGTGAAGATTCCGAATGATGCACAATGGCACACAGCACACAGTGCCATTTGATCTGTGATAGATATCTTTATGTCAGGAGACACAGAATGAACCCTTGGTGAAGAAGGTGAACCCTCACCATCACATTTGCCCTCACCTTTACAGCAATGAGATTCTTTCTTATGGCTTTCTTAATCTTCTTCCTTCTTACACAGTCTAATAAGGCAAATCATACAAAGCAACTGGCAGGAAAATGTTGTAACCATGGATGCCCATGTATGTGACGGCCAGTGGTTTCCTGGTTTTATGATGCTGGCTGGCTCTGCCAGACAGGGGCTTTTGGAATGTATTTCCTTTCAGGCTTTGATATATGGACCAGCCATAATCAATGCTCACTAGTTCACTAGAGCCTCTGCTTCTGCCCAAACTGCCTGCCTGGTTGATTTTTGGGTATCCGCTCGCTGAAGCTGGTTTATAAGCTATTAATTGCAGAAACCATGTCCATCTATGAGAGGTTTTGAAAACAGTTTGTGTTTTCCTCTCCTCCAGCTGTCCTTTGCTTCTAAAAAGAAGGTTGATGTGGATGTGAAAGTTCTTTGCAGAGGTTGTATGCTCTGGAGGAGTTGAATACAAGAGAAAGAAAAGCATACGGCTTGTATCCAGTCCATAATGGATGTCTTCTTTCATTTGGGCTGTATTGACTTACTGTAGTCTCAATTCCCATTTTTTAAACCCTCCAACAGAGGAGAATGATGCTAAATCTGTTGCACATGGCCAATCAGTAGGTGATACTAGACAGAGGAACTAGGCCTTCAGAGATTACAAATCATATGGTACAGTTGGACATCAGTGGATTGAACTTTTACTTTGGACTTTTATCTCAGCTACTAATCATACTCTTTCAGCAAAATATGAAGAAGTGTATGAATGTATGCAGTAATACTTGAAGTCAGCCAGCAAAAACAGTTTGGCCTTCGTTCACCCTGCTCACTATCAGGAAGATTCTGTGCAAACACATTTACTCTGCATTCATCAAAACCTTGTCTTACTCTTCATGATCACTGAGATATTTGGCTCTTTAATGTATAACATTGTTTTATTCATGTGTTATACTCCCTCGGGATCCTGCAACAACAGCAGGTAATGGATCCCTTGAGGTGGTCCCCACAGGTGTATGCGGATAGTGCCACCAGAGGGCAGTGTTTCAGACACACTGTCCCAGCAAGGAAACCTGTGTTTCAGAGGAATGTGACGACCGCTGTCCCACCCCATACACACAGGATCTTGGCCTTGTCTTTTGCCAGAGCTGCTGCAAGGCTGCACGTTGAAGATAAATATTTTCAGAAGACAAAACAAAGCCCTGTTCTTGTCCTACATAAACAGTTTCTCCTAACAACTGTGGCAATCGTAAGCATCACCATATCATTTGCGGTGACTTCTGTGTTCTGAAGCAATTTGCAAGAGTTTTAAAATCTATTGTTTCATATTATTCTTTCAGTTTTTTATTTTGTATTATGAGTATTATGGGAGTTCTAAAAGGGCGTTGGATGGGGATGGGAGTTCTAAGCTACCACCAATTGGAGTTCTAATATGCCACCAATGTTTATTTACATTAATGTCACCAGCAGGTGACAAATTCCTTAGAAAAAGGAATTAATAAATTACAATGTTATGAACATGCTATAGTTAAGAGCTTATAGTATGTTTTACTATGTAAGGATGTAATTTTGCATCCAATCAGACTAAAAGAAAACAAAGGACTGAAGGAGTTTCTGTATATTGGCATATAAGGGTCATGTCATCAGCTGCGGTAAGCTTCATACCTGCTATATTTGGTGTTCACTTTAAACAGGAAATGAAGGAGAATACCACTCATTCTCCAGGAAAAGCAAACGCCTGCCTGTCTTACCTTCCAGGAACCCACACCCCCATCTCTCATCATTACCATTTGTTCCTCGCTGCTTTTTGCTCACTGAAAGAGAGGAAAAACAGTCCAGGCACTCAGTACTACAAAGCAAGCGATGCATTCCTTTTTTCAGGGGCTGTGCTTTTTCCTCAGCGTCTGCGTGCTGTGGTCCTGCTGCACACGGCTGTAATTCCACCCGCTCTCCACTTAAGGCACCACGGGCCGAGGCAAAACAGCAGATGAGAAATCACCCTCAAATCTGTCGGAAACAGCACTTTGGCACGAGCCTGGTCTGCAATCAGCACTGTACTTAGCCCACACTGGCGATTAGATAGTGGGCTTGTGTGCGCTAGCTCGTGTGTCTGGACATCTCATAAGTCAGGCTGAGATGTCAGCTAAGAGTGGCCTGCTGCCGGCAGTTCTATTTAACATCGCCTCACACCAGGCCGCATTCCCATGTGTTGTGCATAAATTGATCTGGACAGGAAAAGAGGCAGACCAAAGGGGAAACTTGGGTTACGTGAGGGTTAATCCAAAGAGTCTTAAAGGGTTTAGGTCCATGAATAATTGCTTTGTTGGGACTTCTACCTGTCATATTCCTTTCAAGAAAGAATTATTTTCTGCGAGGAGTGCCTCTCTAAATTCTTATTTTTAATCCGTTTTAAGATTCTGTCCCTGCAGTCAGCACTCCCACAGTATCCAAGACGCTAGGCCAGCATTGCTTCAGGTTTGCTTGAACACAATTCCCATATCTGTTCCAACTACACAGTCAAGGTTGT